ATTCAAAACTGGTGAAAAGGGTCAGGTAGAAAACTACAGACCAATTTCCATTATTTGAAAGTCTTTGAAATAGTTTTGTATAATCGTATTTATTCACGCACTCGTAATCAGCTGTCTCAATATCAACATGGTTTTGTCTCCAATCGGTCCACTGCGACAAACTTATTAATGGTCACACAATATATCTCAGCAGCCCTAGATAATAGAAGTCAAGTTGACGCCATATATACTGACTTTACGAAGGCATTCAACAGAATTCACCACGGCGTATTACTTTCTAAATTGTGTCTCTTTGGTCTTTCTGAGGATGCCGTGACTTTTATGAGGTCTTACTTGTCAAATAGAACGCAGTTTGTTGCTTATAATGGTTACAAATCGGAAAAGTACCTAGCTTCTTCAGGGGTTCCACAAGGTTCTAATCTAGGTCCATTATTGTTCTTGTTATTTATTAACGATCTGTGTGAATCAATTTCTGCACCATGTTTATGTTATGCCGATGATTTAAAGATTTATTCATTGATAAGCGACCTTAATGATTGTCATTTTCTGCAGAGTGAACTGAATCGTGTACATGAATGGTGTAATGCAAATCATTTGAATCTTAATGCCAATAAGTGCAAAGTAGTTAGTTATTCTAGGAAACAGTCTAATATATACCATCCTTATATTATCGATGGCAATGAACTTGAACGTTTGAATAAAATTAAAGACCTTGGAGTTACATTTGATTATAAACTCACCTTTGTTGAACATGTTAATTTAAAGGTTAAAGAAGCACTTAAATCTTATGGATTCATAATTAGAAATAGTCGAAATCTCACTAATACTAAGGCAATTAAATTACTTTATTACACTTTTGTACGCTGTAAACTGGAATATGCTTCTGTCATTTGGTCACCTTTTTATGATGTACACATCCAAATTATAGAGCACGTGCAGCGTAAATTTTTAAAATTTTTGTCTTTCAAAATTAACGGCATATATCCCAGGAGGGGCATCAGCAATAGCGAGTTGTGTAGCGGTTTGGACGTAGTATCATTAGAATCTAGACGAATTAATGCCTCCCTAATATTCCTGTACAAGCTACTACATAATCTCATTGACTGCCCTGATATTCTTCGACAAATAAATTTTAACGTTCCATCTTATCCAGTGAGAAATTCGATTACGTTCAGAAATACACAAGCTAGAACTAATCTTATGTTAAATTCTCCTCTATTTCTCATGTGCAACTATTATAATTCCTTAAGTGCTTACTGCGATATATTTCACTGCAGTTTAAAGCAGCTTACTAGGATGGCTGAGATCTACCTAGGTGATTAAGTAGTTTCTTTATGTTAAGGTAAAATACTCGAAAAATGTGTTATTTAGTTAGTACCTATGAATTATTAATATTTCATTTAACTTTAGTATTGTATTTTGTCCTATAAATGGATTCTGTTGGACAATAAACGCTATTATTATTATCATTATATTTATAGCCACGGCTGGGCCACAAACGTAAAAGAAACACGTTTTTCGATCTTATTTTCTGTCGTTATAACCAAATTTGCATCGCTATAGAAAGTTATAGTTCAATATAAATTTTACGGAGCATCTAATGTACCTCGTTATAAACGAAACCTCGTAATAACCGTGTTCGTTATAGAGGTAATATACTGTAATACCACTTGACTCATTGTGTATCACCAATGGCACTTAATGAGACAGATGAAGATGGTAAAAAAATATGAAGGAATAATTATTTCAGATTATATTGAGCAGAATTGATGACTGGTTAACTCAGTTTGTAGACAAATTCAAAAATACTAATGTCAGAAATAAAAATGTATTTTTTGTCTCATTGTGTACTCTTCTTCTTTTTGTGCCACTCCTATCGGAGATTGGAAATCATCAAGGCTATTCTGACCTTGTTTACGGCTGACCTAAAGAGTTCATTAGTGGTGCAGCCAAACCACTCTCTCAAATTCCGCAACCATGACATTCTTCTACGGCCTGGATTCCGTTTTCCTTCTATTTTTCCCTGCATTATATTTTGAAGTAATGCGTATTTATGTCCTCTCATCAGGTGACCAAAATATTCGAGTTTTCTTCGCTTTAGCGTTAACAAAATCTCTGGGTCTTTTCCTATTCTTCGTATTACTTCACAGTTTGTTATTCTTTCAACCCAACTAATCTTCAGCATTCGACGGTAGCACCACATCTCGAAACTTTCAATATTTTTCATGTTGTTCTGTTTGAGAGTCCAGGCCTCTACACCGTATAATAGCGTGTTAAATACATAGCCTCTCAGCATTCTTAATCGTAGAGGGATGCTTATATTTCTGTTGCAGAAGAATTTTCTCATCTTTATGAAGGTGGCCCTGGCAATTTCGATACGTCTTTATTTCACTGTTTTGGTCTCCAGTTTCGTTTATTAAAGTTCCCAAGTATTTGTAACTTGATACTTTTTCAACTTGAGTGCCGTTTATACTAATATACGCTGGTTGTGTCATGTTTTTACTGAAGACCATGTACTTGGTTTTTTTAATATTGATATTTATACCATAATTTTTGCAAGCAATATTTATGTCTGTAAGTAATCTTTGTAATTCTTCTACTGTTCTTGCAACTAGTACAGTGTACTACCCTCCCCTATATTTTAATTTTATCTTTATTTAGGAATTAAAATGGACACCTCTAAATCAAAAATACCAAGAAAACCTCCGAAACCCACCGGACGATCTCAGAATAGGAACATCCCTTCGAGTACTGCTAAATCCACCGCAGCTTCTAACAGAAATCTCCATGAAGAGTTTGCTCCAAGAAGATCCAGATCCATGGTGAACTTAGGTGTTAACCATGCATCCAGAAGAGTTGTAGCTGAATCTTCAACAAAACCAATTTTTAAAGAACCAAGTAGTGTGATAGCAAATATTAAATCTACTCTTAAACGAGCAGCAGCAAACAAATCAGAAACTAACGCAGAACCAAAAGAGGCAAAACAACCCAAAATTGCAGCTTGGGATTTCAAAGGAAAATATAAAGGACTACAAGAAAAGCATAAAACGCTTATAGATGCATATTCTTCACTTAAAGAACGATGTGCAGGTAATGATATATCAAAATGTTGATTAAATTCATTCTCTCTTTCATTATTCTATATTCTGACTTTACCATATGAATATTCTTTTTCTTTAAATCCGTAAACTAATTTTCGGAACCAAATTCAGATCTGTGCTTCTAAGAATTGCAAGGCAAACCAGACGTTGATAAAGAAGTTATTAGAGACATGGGGAATCTAAAATTTGCATTCCACGACATATCTCCTCAACTAAGCAAAAATCCTTAGCGAATTGGTTTCTAGTACTCGTACAGAGTAAATCGGAATAAAAAGAAAAAGACAGTTAAGATTTGATTTCATGTATAGTGCGTCTGTGTATCCGCTTATACGTATTTCGGCCTAATAGGCCTCTTCAGAACGGCAATTCACAGTCGCTTTAACGTGAAAATAAATCTCTTCTGTCTTAAGAAGCAACTAATTTATTTTCACTTTCAGAGCGACTGTAAAGTGCCGTTCTGAAGAGTCCTATTCCTTATGTCTCTAATAACATCTTTATCAGCGTCTGTTTTGCCTGGCAATTCTTAGAAGTCACAGATTAAAGCAAAAATCTGAATTTGCTTTCGAAAATTAGTTTACGGATTTAATATCAGATCGATTGCGTCCATTCGAAGTCATGTTAGAGTTTATGTGTATATCCTGATTGACTGGATTTTTAGTTTTTTATTTATTTCTTCTAGTCTGTTTACAACCTGCTTCTCTTGAAGGCACTCTAATTGGTAATTTAATCTATATCTAACAGGTTTTGGTATTACTAATAGATTTTGTTTTAGTTGTGCTATTATTAGTGTATGATGAATAAGTAAAATATAACATGAATAATAAGATTTTACTTCAGGACACGCCTTCAAAAAAAATTTACAAAAAACAAAATATCGATTGGGAATAAGCCACAATTAAAGATAAAAATACGTTTATTGACGTTTCAATTTCCACTTCGGAAATCGTTCTCAAAATACAAACAGTAAATTAAACAAATTTTGTTTTTTGTTACATAGTGAAAAATTCTTCTAATAATTTAATTTTATCTGACTCATTTATATTGACAATTCAGACATACATTATGCATTTTAAAGTAGACGACTTTAAAATGATATTGCCAATATTGTTGAGTTGCGCTCCTGGGACGACTTTACTTATAAGATAGTTCATTCGATTACATGAAATCAACTTTAACTTGAGAATATCCATCAGAAAAAAATCATAGCATGTAATTCGTCTTTAAAAAGATAAACACATGACATGATGACAGTAAAATTCTATTGTTAGTGATTCCATAGTAAATTATGAGGGAAAACCAGGAAAAAAACCTCATAATACTATCCCGACATTGTAAGTATTTGTTCGTGAATTTAGTTTACCTTCAACAAACATCAAAATTCTGATTTTATATGTTACGTTATTTAAAAAACATAAATGATGTATCCTCTATATGTTACTGACTTACTAATACTGGTATTTTCTTATTAATAACTTCCTCTTTCAATATTGGTAACCAGATCCTCCTACATTCTGCCGAGGAATTTGCGACACAATTGGCCTCATTTAGCATAATTAGAGTTGTTGGACACATTCCTAAACAGATCGAAAGATCTACAAAAAGTAGAAGAGGACACATTCCTAAATGATATAAACGATAAAGAAGAGACAATAACATTTACCATGGAAAAGGAATATAATAACACGCTACCTTTCCTGGATGTTTTAATCTCTAAGAACGATACTGGATATGAGACTCAGGTGTATAGAAAACCAACACACACCAATAGATATTTAAATTTCAAATCAAATCACAATATTAATGTAAAAAAGGGAATAATTAAATCCTTATACGATAGAGCCAAAATTACTTGTTCTAACGAAAATTCGTTCTTGGAGGAGAAACATTTGTTAACATCTGTTTTATTAAAAAATGATTATCCTTTATCGTTTATAAATAAGGAATTTTCAACAATCGATCGAATAGAACAAAACAACTTAGAACGAGATCCTACAGCATACACAAGGAATAATATGAGGAAAATAACAATACCGTACATAAAAGGACTATCAGAAAAACTTAAAAGGATAGGAAATAAATTCAACATTTCAACAACATTCAAAACAACAAACACGTTGAGATCTATTTTGTCCAAAACCAAACCTAACAATGAACAAGAAAGGACAAAGAATTGCATTTATAAAATACCTTGTGAATGCGATCAGTTTTATTTAGGTGAATCATCAAGGCCATTAAATGTTAGAATAAGTGAACATCAATCTTATATTAAAAATAGAGAATTTGATAGATCTCAAATCTGTAAACACGCATGGGATAATGAACATAGGGTTCAATGGAATAATTCAAATGTAGTCCTAAAAGAAACGGATGGTAAAAAAAGAAAAATCAAAGAAGCGGCTCTAATTATGCTAAATGAGGCCAATTGTGTCGCAAATTCCTCGGCAGAATGTAGTAGGATCTGGTTACCAATATTGAAAGAGGAAGTTATTAATAAGAAAATACCAGTATTAGTAAGTCAGTAACATATAGAGGATACATCATTTATGTTTTTTAAATAACGTAACATATAAAATCAGAATTTTGATGTTTGTTGAAGGTAAACTAAATTCACGAACAAATACTTACAATGTCGGGATAGTATTATGAGGTTTTTTTCCTGGTTTTTCCCTCATAATTTACTATGGAATCACTAACAGGAGAATTTTACTGTCATCATGTCATGTGTTTGTCTTTTTAAAGACGAATTACATGCTATGATTTTTTTCTGACGGATATTCTCAAGTTAAAGTTGATTTCATGTAATCGAATGAACTATCTTATAAGTAAAGTCGTCCCAGGAGCGCAACTCAACAATATTGGCAATATCATTTTAAAGTCGTCTACTTTAAAATGCATAATGTATGTCTGAATTGTCAATATAAATGAGTCAGATAAAATTAAATTATTAGAAGAATTTTTCACTATGTAACAAAAAACAAAATTTGTTTAATTTACTGTTTGTATTTTGAGAACGATTTCCGAAGTGGAAATTGAAACGTCAATAAACGTATTTTTATCTTTAATTGTGGCTTATTCCCAGTTTAATAGTAATTAATTTACAATGCCACAAGAAAATAGCTTCAGAACAATAACAAAATATCGGCCTCGGCCAACAAAATAATAAAAAAAAACTACTAACAAAAAGGCGAAAGCCAACAAAAAATACTAACAAAAACCTCAAAATCTGGGCACGAAGGGCCCACATTCTCGATCACCGAGTCGCCGAACTAGGCGTAGCCCGAAGTGGAGACTTAAGGGCCGAGCAAGCAATTTTAGTTCGATAAATGTCACTTGAAGATAAGAGCATTTGTGCTACATGGAGTGCTCTAGGGGGGAAAGGGATAAGTTCCATGCTACACTGATCGGTCAACGCTCTGCACTGTCAACGGTCATAATGGCATATCCTACTCGCCGCTTCGAGACCGACAGTCTGTGTCATAGAATTTGAATCTGACTGTCAGCTTTTACCAGCGTTCTTCTTGGAAGTACCCATACGTTGACACTCTGTCGTCAGAGCCATGTTTGTGATCGTGTGTTTGAGGTAACAAGTTACTACTCGTGAATAGATGAGGTTGACATTTGAGTAGGAGGAGCTACTTGAGACGTATCCTACTCCATTAACCCTCATTTTCTATGTTAGTACCTATATTGAATTAGTTCTCTTTTGTGTGTGATTCTTACTTAAGAATTTTCTACTTTTCAAGTCTAGTTACTTTTTTACAGCACTAACAAATGAAGGGTACAGGTCCATAAAGAGCTAAGTCACCAAATGTTTATTTCGTACAAAACGAAGTTTAAATTTTAAAACCAGTTATTGATAAATTATTGATGGTTATCATGACCTCTATTGATTAGATCAGTTACTTAAGTAATTAATGAAACACACAGAAGAAATTAAATTTATATTGATATTATAAAAAATAGAACAGAAGCTTTAATTGGTCAAACCACCAAACATTATTGGCCTAAAGGGGCCAAGTCCAAAAAAAAACAAGTTAAAATGACAAGTAGACAAAAGTTATTAATATGAAATAATTCTAATTCTTAGGCAGGTTATCAAAAAATTGTTTTGCTTCGTCACCACAGAATCGTTTCAAATCTTGTAGGCATTTAAATTTTTTAGCCGAGATTGGTAAAAGACCTAAAAATAATGTTGTTTAATAATAGTATTCCAAGATATTAATAATTTTTTATACCTGAATAAGAATACGGAGGAAGTTCAAATTCATTTTGTAGTAGCACTGGTCCCTTTCGCTTACTATCTTTTTCCTTCACTATTGCTGACTCCCATGCTCCATTATAGGACTCCCGGTAATATATCAATCTACGATGATCTTGATGTATTTCTAATTCTCGAATTGGACGGGAACTGAAAGGACATTTCTTCAAATAATCTGTTTTCGTATTAAAAAAATTCGTCCATGCTCGAAAGTAGGATTGATCTATTTCCACAACGTCAAAGGGCGATGGTTTTGCACGAGCACTTCTAAAAATTTCAACCCAATCTAAAGGAATCTCAGCTCGTTGTTTGGAGTTTATTAAGCCCATATTTTTATCCGGTTCCATATAGGAATGGCCACGAATAGGGAAAGTAACTTTAACATAATCAAGTCTACGTGTATTGTGGACAATATAATGCAAAAAACGAAACATGGTGAAATTTTTATTTTGTCCCCCACACGAGTCGCAGAATATTTCAAGCGATCTTACTTGTATATCGAGAAAATTCCAAAGAAAGTCATTCAGCATTGAGCATACATCGTCGCTTCCCTTTTTGCCAATTGTTTCCGGGTAAATGTAAAACACACTTTTTGCTGTAGATAGAATGTGGACATTAAAGGCATAGACGTTCAGCTGGCTCTTATAGTAAACATCGTTTGTTGTTATGTTTGGGACACTGAGATTTTTTCCAAAATCGAGACAAATAGCTTCGTGAGTCACAGAGGTTCGAGTTTTTTTCTTCGCAGCTCTTTTTCTACTGTAAAATACCTCAGCCTTTCTTTTGTGTACATCATTTTGTATCGTAAGCTGGCGTATTTCCTTTTGCAAGCGTTCATTTTCAGCAAGATCGAAACTACTGTTTAAAATATCAGACTGAAGAGATTTTATTTTTATAAGAAACTCATCACAGGAACTACATGTATCAGTTCTGGGATATCCAAAGGCTATGTTAAATTTTGTATTAAAGACTGTTCTGTAAGACTCGTAAGATATTTTCATAGAAGGGTTCAACTCGCAAAACATTTTGAACATCTTTTTTATGTTTAACTCTTCAGGTAAGTATAATTTTTTACTATCATTCACACTATAGTGGCTTTTCCTGCCTTTAAATGACTTTATATGTTCGTATATTGCTACAAGAACGTTGGATTCCAATTTTCTAGGATGGTTTTTATTTTCTCCCCTTTTATCTTTAGGGGCGACTCCAGTCATTTTTAGTGAATTTTGTAATATCTCTATTTTTTTTCTTTATTCCATGAATAGACATAAAAGCTTGTCTACAAATATTTATTTCTTTTAAGCTATTATCAGTGCTAAAACGTACCCTGTAAGAATATGCAGCACTTCTCAAATTTGCTTCGTTTTCATCTTTCCTAGGCCTTCTTCGGCGAATAGGCAGTACTGTAATCAATCCACATAAGTATGAGTTCTGCTCATTAATAGAAGTCATTGTGTTAAAATTTTTGAGTACAGTTTTTCTTGCTTCTTCGGGCACATTTTGAAAACATTGTTTACGACAATTACAGGTTGCACCTACCTCGTGACTCTGCAGTCTAATTTTTTTCATGACATCTCTCATTCTGCCGTGCTTTTTCCTTTTTTTTGATTCATTCTGTTTAGGCACTACTTCAGTCTCATTTCCACTACTATTGTTTTCTGTATTCATTGTTATTTACTTTTAAATCACTTAAAAAACAATGAAAACAAACTAAACCGACGAACCTAACTCTAAACTGCGCGTATTAGATTAACGTCTATTAGCTGTTTATATGGACTTTACCCTTTTAGGACCTGCCTGATAAGGACTTGCCCCCTATTGGTGGTGTATGCGTAAATTAGAATTAGTATTTCACGGGAACTAAGCGCTTTTAGGACGTGTAACCAGTCGCTGACCACTTCTACGTTAAAATTGCTACAAGATGGCACCACTAGATCTATTTATGAAAAATTGCGACTTGCCCCCTTTTGGCCCTGTACCCTTCAAATACTATTTATTCGTATATTTTTTGCTAAATTCAGATTTTAAATACTTTGTTTTTAGATACTGAAGAGATGAGAAAAAATTATGATGAAGTAATTGCTGATAAAGATGAGAAAATTAACGATTTGCAAAAACGATTAAACATCTTAGAAACCGATTATGCAATAATGAATGCATTAAACATTGATATTACAACGAAATGTAATGAATTGGCCGAAGAAAATAAAAAATTTAGAGATAAATTAAGAGAGAGTAATAATGTATGTGTTAATTTAAAAACCACAATTGAAAAATTAAAAAAGGATTATATGCTCAATGAAACATTAAAGAGGCAACTTCAAAACACAATTCAAGATTTAAAAGGTATGTTTTTTATTTTATTTCTTTTTTGAGTAGGGGAGAGGTGGGATGGTTGATCCCTGTTTTAGTGTTTAAAGATTATTTCAGACCATAATAGTTATTTTCTTAATTTCATTAAACGGGTTCATAATGTGGTTATTTCCTTCCACTGGGTGTTGGCATCTACCCAAGTGGGTCAACAGAACAGTAATAGGATATCATTGGGTGCCAAATTTAAATGGGGATCAAGTATCCCACCGAGATCAACTATCCCACCTCTCCCAAGAAATTAACTTTATTAATTATCAATAAATTTAATTTATTTATTAATAATTTCAATTAAATTATCAACTATACTTCATCTAATTTACTTACCGTTGCACGTCATCTGTGTCATAGTCCGTGACGCCACATGATACCAACAAGAAATATTTAGGCGGTAGGTGTGTTCTTTTTTAGAATCACTTTGCCGAGTACACTGGCATTATAGCCACTAGACATATTTTATTATATACGCGTAGAAATAATATTTAAAGATTTCTATTAATATTAAGTTAAAGAAATACACAATAATATGTTTCATTTAATTTGTATAAATGCATTATAAAGCGTTTTTATAAAGAACATTTGTTCGGAACACACTGTAACTGTAATCGAACGAAGGTGATATTTTGGCATAAATTGGTAACACTTATTTGACAGTTGCGGTGTTGACACTTTTTGTACTTTATTATTTTGAATTTTAAAGTGAATACCTCTTGTTTTATATTTTTACCTATTTAATAAAATCTGTTCTTTTTAGAACAAAATTAGTGTGTTTTATTTCAAAAATGTCACGTAAGAATTTAAATAGTCGTTGTAAAGAGATGGTAATACTTTTGCAATAATTATGTGACCTATTTGATTTAAAATGGAGTCAGGATTTTTTTATACTTTGGCAACTATGTCAACTTCGATCTCTGTCAATGATAATGACGTGCAACGGTAAGTAAATTAGATGAAGTATATAGAAATTAACATTTTTCCAACAAGCTATTAAAACAAAATCGTAATTAAAGTAGGTGTTGTAATAAGTCTTCCTTGTTTCGTGTAGTTAGTCACTTCCAGACAATAAATTCACGGTAAATGTAAATAAACTAACATTATCTAATTTATTATATACCTACCTCGTTATCTCATTTATTTAAAACACAATTTTAAAGCAAATAAAATAGTGTAAAACATGTTTAAATACTTTTGTAGCATATAGATGAAAGTTATTTGTCAGTCATGTAATGAAATTCATAAACAAGGTTAGTCAAAATCAAGAATCATTTGATTGTCCGAAGAAATATCCTAATACAGTGATTTTTTTATTTAGTTTATTGTTTCTCAACTACAAGGTTATTATTATTTACAATTGCCATTATAATTTACAATAAAGAGAATAAAGGAGAAAGTAAAAAAGAAAACATTAAATTTGTAATACAAATTCGTTTCTTGAAGAAAATCTAGTACATTCTGAACAAATTCTAGTTGGCTGAGGATCACATTTGTAATATTTGTATAGAGTATGTTTAGTTCTTGCTCGTACTTGATGCTTCTTATTCTTCTTTCAGCCTTAAGTAATCCAACTTTGGACATAGGCCTCCCCCAAATCAATCCAGTGTCTTCTATTTTGCGCCACTTGCTTCCAGTTGTGTCCTCCGATCCTCTTAATATCATCCGCCCATCTCATTTGTGGTCTTCCTCTGCTTCTCTTTCCTAACCATAGTCTCCATTGTTGTATTTCTTGGTTTCATCTTTTTCCATTCCAAGTTCATCTTAAGACCTACTTTTTCCGAAGCTTGAAATAGTTGCGTCATCATGGTCTGTAGTTCTTCGAAACTTGTAGCGAATATTACAATGTCATTAGCGTATCTTAAATGACTCAGTTTTCTTCCATTAACATTTATTCCTTTATCTGCCAGTTAATGTCTTTAAACACGTCTTCCAGTCTTCTTTATTTTTCGTTTTCTTTGCAACAGTCAATCCTGCTTTCAAGATCTTTCGTTGCATTTCTTTATTAATTGTGTTCATGTCGGAATATATTCTTGTTGATAATATTCTACAAATTATTTTCTTAAGACTTCTCTGTACTCATCTCCCTTCTGTTTAATAAGAATCCTTGCTCTTAAAAGGCGATGATCGCTGTTCATTTTGAATCGATTGAGAGCAGTTATACTCCACCATATGTTTCGACTATCGTCCCTGTATAGTATAAGCGATTTCCAGAGTTTAGATGCCTTCGTTGTTCGCGTCTTCTTTTCACTTCTGACAGTTCTACAATATCCCATTTTATCTTGAATAGTTCTTCTTCTAATTCGTAGACCTTTTTATCTTTAGCCATAAATTGGATGTTGTATGTGGCTAGTAATAACTGTTTTTGTTTGTTCGTGTCTATTTTGGCGCGTTTTGTTGAGCTTGTGCCTCCCCAGAATCCGTGAGGCTGATCGGTTTTTCGTTGCGAGATTCTGAGCTGCTAGCTCTACCCACCTGGGGTATCGTCCCAGTTTGTTTAAGTTCAACATGTTGTGGTTTGAGGGGTATATTGGCATTAAAACCTTATTCCTTAGCCACGGGCCAGTAATGACACAGCTGCTGACCTGTGTCATGTCCTCCTTTGATACACCGGTACTTATTTGGCGAAGCCTTAGTCATACCTGCCCTGTATATTTACAGGAACGTTTCCTATCAGCCATTGGGACGCGCCGTGTCGGGGTTGAGGACTTCCTCGCCCAGTCTGTCTTGCACAAAGTACTGAAGGACCCCTACTCAGTTCAGTGTCCCTCCTCTATACAAGCTAAGACTACACTGTGTATGAATATATTGAACGGTTAATAATTCACTACCCTTTTCATAAATAAGTGATTTTTCCTAAGCCATCAGGTATCCATGTGTCAGCCATGTGTGACCAATTCTTAGGTTGCCAAAGATTAATTTGTCTCTTCTACTTAAGTTAGGTAGCTGAAAGGTTTCCATGGTAGGTTGTATTTTGTGTAGTTTCTAGGTTGAATTCCTCCATTGGTTTTGCCAGGAATTTTTCATTTGTGACCTGAAAAGTGGTTTTAGATCTGACACTAGTTGAACAGATTTGATGTCTGATTTGGTTGTAATTGCTTATTTTGCAACAGTACCAGCAGTCTCATTACCTACAATGCCAACGTGTGAAGGAATCCAGATTAATATTATGTTTGTTCCAGAAGAAGTGAGATAGTTTGTTGCTTCATGTATGGCATGAACTAATGGATGTTCGGATTATATATTTTTAATTGAGTCGATGAAGGACATCGAATCTGTACATATTGCAGTATTCTTGGCTTTAGTTTGATTACGTAAGCATTTAATTGCTTGGAGGTTAGCGTACAGCTCTCCTGTATGAATGGAGGTGGATGGTAGAATGCAGAACTTCTGAATGATACTATTTTCAGTTGTTACATAATAGCCTTCTCCTGTCTCAGTTTTAGATGCATCTGTGTAGAGAATCCCGTCACATGAGTTTGTGTTCATAAGCTCTAGGAAAGATTGCCTCAGTTGGTTTCATTTTTGTGATAATTATTAAGCGAAAGGTTAATTCTTGGAATGTTCTTAATCCAATGAGCAGTTGATGATAGCATATGAATATCTGTTATAGAAAAATCAACAGGTCGTGAAAGGGGAAGTAAAATTTGATGTAGTGTCTGGTATTTATTGTTATGCTCACAATTATAGGATTGTAAAGTAGCTTATATATAGCGTTGTTTTGATTCGAAGACACTTTAGCCTTCGAAGAACTGTTGCCTGCGAAGCAAAAGCAAAAGTTCACCTGTTTCACAGCGAAGACTTTTGACGGAACTGGATCTGAAAGCTACGAGACATATTCGTAATGCGGTATTCTAAATAATGTTCAAGTGTACTTGCTGACATGTATACAAAGCGTCCATAATACATCGAGAGCGAATGAGAGATCTGTATACCTTAATTAGGATATTTTCATCAGCTTCCCTGTGATGATTTGCAAGAGATTTTAATAGATTTAATCTAGTTAAGCAATTAGCTTTGACGTTTGTAATCTGTGGTTTCCATGTTAGTCGACTATCAAAAATTAAACCTAGTACGAACCATTGTTTAGAAAACAAGTGTCGGTAATGTTTAGTACGTTCTCTATAACTTTTACTCTGTCGTACGTGGTTTGTGAACCCCATGCAATATTGTGTGCATTAAAGTCTTCGACAAAATTTGAAATTGGTTTCTTTTGGCATATTATATTTGGATTGGCGACGCTGATAAGTTGTAGATTCTTTTAAGTGGCAAAAGTATCCATCACAATTCCATTGAATAAGTGTGAAAGTTGTTAGTGATTGGATTTTTCAGAATGTTGTAAATGTTCGGTTGTGTCATCATCGTTAGACGTATAAAGAGATGATTGTGATACTAGGCTATCTGTATCCTCTAATTCTAAAAGTAATTCCGGTTTAAGCCTCTTAGATAGTCTTGTGAACTTATTTTAGTGATCTGGTGGTTAGGTATGAATAAATTGCATACATCTCAGATAAAAGTGAATTGATGTCAGAATAATTTGTTGGGCTTTTATTGTGAAGTCACTACTTGACGAGGCATTCTCAAGAAAGGCTATGAGATTATCTGGTGGAGTAGAGAAACTTTTGGGTTATTGTTGTTGATGTCAAGATTCTTGATTATTTGCTTTGATGCATCTGATATTTTGGATTTATCTGTAAGATCTATTTTTGAAATCTTCTTCACGTGTTTTGTGTTTTTTTTTCTATTAAAATTGTTTATATTTGTTATATTTGCTTTGCTTATGTGTTATATTTTACTCACGAGTTAATTTTTAGGTAATATTAGAGTCTTCTGTAGAGTCAGACCTCCGATTAATGAAGCTGAAAATAAAAAAGCAAAATGTTCGATAAATTATGTAAATGAAAGTACAATAGAAATTCAACCTACACAGCATTCCGGCACTACTCCTAAATCGACAGATACCAAGTTGGAGTTTACCTTCGATCAAGTTTTTCAGGAAAGTGCCACACAGGAAGAATTTTTTGTAGAATTATCTCAACTAGTTCAATCTGCCATTGATGGGTACAATGTGTGTGTTTTCGCATATGGACAAACGGGATCTGGCAAAACATATACTATGCAAGGCTTGGAGGATCGCGTACATATGGGTAAGCTATCACCATCATAAACTTTTTTTTACATCTTTAAAGAAAAGAAGGAAAATCTGCATACAGACATCTGTATGCAGATTTTCATCATTACAGACATCTGTATGTGTGACTCACACAGGTAGTGTTGAGTTCCTAATACCCTAACAAAGCTGTACCAGGACGAGATGCGCTGGTCACGGTTTGACACTTCGTCCCGTCACCACTCCGAGATGGTCGCATCTAACTAAAAACCTCTCCTCTGCTCTCAAACATCTCTCCTGATGCCCTGCTATTACCCGATTCCCATTCGTTTTTCCACACATTCATTGGGAAAAACCACAGCCACACGAACCACCAAAGACTTTCAACCCTCTGCCTTAGCGAGGCTGCCATATCTTTCGCGTCGTCTGTCTGTCATTCACTCCTATTTCGGCCTGCGACAGTCCGAACCCCACCGAGGTGTTATTCGCTTGTTTTAAAATCTGTTGCGAGTTCCCTCTCCTCTCGTTCTTTTGAAGGGAGCAGCTCCCTGATAAATATGTGGATCCGAGTCCACCACCCCTCATTTCTCATTATTTTCTCCATCATTTCTCCCACGGAATCAAACATTCTGCAGTTACACTATCTTTCAAACCTCTCTTTTATCCGCCCAACGCTCATAATCATCATCATAAACTAAAGTCAATGTTTTTGAAATCTTATAATGAACCTTCTATAATGAAAATAATAATTTCTTTATTTTGTGTTGCTTTAAAATATTTTTAGATGGTCTCCAGTTCTGACGGTACAATTCTTGTTTATGAGACTTGCAGTCTTCTTATCTTTAGCGCTCTCGTCAAGCGTCGTTCCTTTAGGGAGGTCCTTTTTACTTGGGGTTTTACTTAAACGTCAAACTTGTGGCCGCTAAAGCCTGTAATCCTGATGTTGCTACCTCAGCCTTAGCTTAAGCTAGTGTCTTACTTTCTGCATCGTCTTATGGTACAGAACTGAATGGTTATTATTGTTACGCCAGCCTTGCTACACCCCTGATGATCAAATTTACTAGGCGATTCGTAGAATGTGTTTACGGCTGTCAGATGATGTCGAGAGTTCCAGTGGAATATAGAAACACTTAGAAGAAAGACGCGAACTATACATAACATAAAAGGCAAAAAAATCTAAGACAAAAGATTTGGTGAAATGTAGTTGGTGAAATGATGTTAACGAATTACGGAGAAGAATCGACGATATACACGAATTGATCTGTTCCCATCTTCAGACCGCTAGCGATAGAATGAAAAAACGGTACCATACCCAAGCCGAAAAGGAATGTTTTAAAAAGAATGACAAAGTCTAGCTCTATAATTTAAAGAAGCGAAAGAGTTGTTCTCCTAAGGTGCAGCATTTCTGGCGAAGGTCCGTACCTTATTGGGGAGAAGATTTACTATGTCATCTACCGAATAAGCAAGATTCCGAGGGGAGATGATGGTACATCAGAACCGGCTGGCGCCATTCAGTTTAAGGAAGAAAAGTAAGATCTACTTGCACTTCCAAATGACTACTCACTGGAAAAGACCATTCCGTCCAGTGCCGACTATCAGCTACCGGAAGAGCTTTGAAACTACAAATTGCATCACGGTACCTTTGTATCTGATAACAGAAGGGATTGCCCATGGTTAACCGACCTAACAATATTTATCGAAACCATCTTAGAAACTTCAATTGAGGGAGGTCGTGCTGGAGTCCAGATTGTAAAAATTAGCTATGCCAAAGCTAGAATCCCACCAATTTGATTAAAAGGTTGTCTGAAAGTCCAGGTACTAGTCTGTTGCAATCTGCATGGTAATCGATGCAAAACGAAAGCCGTGCCTTGACACTTTAGTACAACTAGGATTTGTAAAAGAGGGTACAGCTACCGATACCAGCATTGAGTTCCACTCCCGACAAGTTTCAGGAGCAACCGTCTTTTAAGTAGGGAGCACTGTTTCGACAGCTCTTGCTACGCCTCTGATCGAGCATGCTAGGCGTTCGATCAAGATTTACAACTCACTAAAAATGAGTCACATTATATAAAAGGTCAATTAAATTGTAGGAGTTAGTCTAATAAATATATTTGTACCGTTAAATAAACTCATCGTGTTTAATACGTAGACATCGTAGAATCGTGACTTTAAATAAAAATTACGCGTCTGTGTTTTAACAGACGACAAGTGCAAGTCAGAAGTTTTTCATTCGCTGACACGAGTAGTTGTCTGTAGTGTTGTCAAAGTTGTTTTGCAGTTTTTTGCTAAAAAATGGAATGGACAAACGAAGTTATTTTTGATTTTTTAAATTTGTATCAAAATGAAACAAATTTATGGAATTCTACGGCACCAGAGCATAAGAAGCGGAACCGATATATACGATGTATGGAACCAAATAAAAAATAAATTGAAGAATAGTACTATTTCGATTAAAGAATTAAAAAAGAAGAGAAATAATTTAATGCCGAATTTAATGTTTACAAGCCTGAGTGGCCTTTTTATGACATAATCAAACAATACTGTCACGGACCTACACAGACTGTCACGGACCGTAGGAAGAGCTCTGTCTGCGGTGCGTTCTCGTCCGTGCTGATCGGCTGTCCGCGATGATCTGTAGAATCGCCGACCGTGGGAAGCCACTGTAATGTTTCGTTGTCTCGTGGACAATTTGTGATAACCATGAATTTTGTCTTCCTTAAGTTCATTCTCATTTCATATTTGTGATAGTTTTCATTCAGTTGTTGTAATATCAGTTAAAAGGCTGTGAGAGTTCTGGATATTTCCCCATGTTAAATCCCATAAGAAATCGCTAAGGTTAATTCTGCTTATTTTTGACGCTTTTGAAAAAACAACAATGGAAAGGGGAGGTGGTAGCGAATATGTTAAAACAAAAATCAAATTCAAAGACTTTGCCAAAACGGTACTATATCGTATCTCCATCGTTATTCGTCAGATTATTACGGGTAACACGTTAAATGAAAGTGGAAGGGATATCGAATACGTTAACACAAAAAACAAAGACAAAGACATTGCCAAAACGGCACTATACCGTATCTTCGTTTCTATTAGTCCGATCTTTGCGAATCAGAGCTCGTTGGAAAGAGGAGGAGATATCGAATATGTTATCACAAAAAACAAAGACAAATACATTGTCAAAACGGCACTATATCATATCTTCGTTGTTATTGGTTCAATTACTACGTATGAAGCGGTCTCAAGTTCTGTAAAGTTAAAGTAAATATGATTGTATCATTCGCATACTCAGGATGCTAATAGTTTCTCCATTTATAATCATACCATATTTACAACCTTTTAAAGTCTCTATGAAGATGGCCTCACCAAGTCAAGGGTGTCAGTGTTTTTTGTTTCTAGTTAATGTTAATTATTTTTCGTATTGGGCCATGTCAAAGGCTTTTTAAAATCAAGAAAGCATCTAAGATATCTTGCTGTGTAAGTGACAAGCAATTTTTATTATTTTTTTAAATTTGTTCATGTCTTCAGCTCATTGAACAATTTTACTGTAATTGTATTTTAAATTAATGTATTTTTGTGTTTTAGGGATGATTCCAAGAACCATGAATTTAATTTTCGACACGATTGAAGACTTGAAACGTTGTAAATGGCAGTATGTGGTTACTGCCAGCTTTTTAGAGATATATAACGAAAACGTAAGAGACCTGTTGGATTCTAATACAAACAATAACTTAGAAATTTTGTACAATGAGGGACGAGGGACAACAGTATCAAATTTAAAAGCTAAAGAGATCTGCTCGTTTGGGGATTTTCAAAAATACATGATGAAAGCTCAAAAAAACAGAGCGGTAGCGGCCACAAACGTTAACCAGCATAGCTCCCGTTCGCACGCTGTTACGAAAATCACTATCAACGGAAAACACGAAGAAACCAATGTATCTTGGACTGGTTCCGTCAACTTGGTAGATTTAGCCGGGTCGGAATCGGTAAAGAAAAATCAAGGAGCTCGCGTTACAGAAAGCATACATATCAATAAGAGTTTATCTACTTTGCAATCTGTAATGTTGTCATTACACAATAAAGATAAACACGTGCCATACAGAAATTCCAAACTCACGTATTTATTACAATCTTCGTTAGGAGGAAATTCCAAAACTCTTATGATAGTAAATATTTCACCTTTTCAAGAAACTTATACAGAAAGCGTCAATTCGCTTCGTTTTGCTTCAAACGTTAAAGAAGTCAAAACCAAAATTAAAAGAAATAAATTAAACCTGCGTGAATGCGTTTAAATGGAATTGAATTGATGTATGGGCATAAGAACTCAAATTAACCTATGTATCACAATGATACATTGTTTTCCAGACTTATAGACCGTGGTCTGAAATTATTTCTCCTTCGTTTTGGCTGTGACTGCTGCAGACATGAAAAAAGTGTTATAAAAGTAATATTATGTACTGTTGGATCCTGATTTAACCTACAATTTAGAATTTTTTTATAATGAAAGACAATGCATCAAAATAAAAGTTTTATTTTTTGTAGACCGGGTACTATGAGCGCACTGGTTAGAAATAATATTCTCATTTTCATTCAAAAATTATTTAAACAATGTTTTAAACAAATTCCAAAATTTTAATTTTTTTGTTTGGTAATTAAGTTTTTTTTTATAACTTTTGGTTAAGATAATTATTTTCTCATTTTGTTACCAGTAAATTTTCTCTAAAATACATCGCTTTCGAGTTATAAATAAATTAGGATCCCAAAAAGCGCAAAAATGACCATTTTCAAAGTTCGAAAACTCACTCAAAAATTAATATTTTTAAGTTTGGAAATCATCAAATTAAACATAAAACTCCATTTTATAAGATCCCGAAGAGATTTTATCCGTAACTTCATTGCAATCCATTGTTTTTTAATTGTTTGTCGCGCCACACCGAGTTCGCGACCGATATATAAAGGTAAAAGGAGAGCCAGGTACAGTGGCCTCCTTTCGAGTAAATTCAAGATAACTTTAATATAAATCATAATATATTAATGAGTATCAACTCAAACAACGTCAAAGCACTTGATAAATTAAAAATGTACTCTGTAATCCAAAAAAACAGGTTTTGCGGGAGTAACTAATTTTGTTTTTTCAAAAAATGTGGTCACTGTACCAAACTAGATGGTACAGTGGTTACAAAGGTAAGGTACAGTGGTCATTACTTGCAATTCTTATATTTTTATTTATAATATTCATAAAAAAAGAAAAGTAATATTAATCTTTAACAAATATTATAAGATGATAAATCCGCTTTAAAAGTAAACAAATTTGTTGTTCGTTGTGTTGTTCCAGCACTTTTTGGTTGGGTTAAAATGAGTTCAACATCTTCTTCTGTAATAATGCAGAATCTGTAAATGTAGGAAATGAAAACTATTCCGTGACGCCTTAGAAAACATTACATTGTATTTTTGACCAGAAGAAAAACCTCTGTAACTTGTGTAACATAAAATTTTGAAGTTTTCTTTGTTTGAAACCTCACGAGAATAAATGAATTCACTTCCACCATTCGTGAGGATATGTCTTCGTCAGAAATTTCATCTACTTCTGAAAATAGACTAACATCGTCGAAATCCACAACATCAGATAATTCAATGCCACTGTCACTGTCATCACTGGGTATGCTTTTATTTTTCTTTGCATTACTTCTATTCGGCTTGTTTGAACTATCAATTTTTCTTTTTATTGTTGTCTTAGCTCTCTTCACTCTACGTTGCCTGGATATTCTTTCTGCTGTTTCCGCTTCGATTCTTTTATAAATTGGTGTATAAGTTAAAATTTTAGTAGTCTTCTTTTTCCTTTGTTTTTTTAATGGCAATAAGGTAACTTTATGGTATGGTTGCAGTAATACAGGGAAAATAAATCGATTTTCGGATGTATCCTTGGAAGTTGCCATCGCTTCATAAGAAACAGTTTTCTTTTCAGATTATTCTATTCTATCTCAGTTATTTCCGATGAATGTTTCTGATTTGTTTCTGGTATTTTATCTGGACAAGTTGATGTTGAAGGGAACTGAATGTCCATTTGTAGTATATCGCTAACATTTGAATTATTTGGTTGTTGTTATTTTTTATGTATGTTTGGCATGTCTATTACGGTTGAAGCCATAAAATCATCGTCATTAAAATGTTATCATTGAATGGAAATACCACAGTAGCTTTAAAAACTACTCGGATAAACGTCGCTCAAAATCTCTGCTATGTCGGAAATTGTTATCCTCTTTATCCACAATTTCACAACTATGTGAGTACTATTTCTTCAGAGGACCAAATACAGCTTTATCTAGTGGCTGAAGGCGATGACTAGTATGTGGCGGCAAAGTCAACATTTTCTTTTGCAAATTTAATAGATGCTAAATAAACATGGCTCTCATGGTTGTCCATGATTAGTAAAATGGGAGATTCCTTTGTAGGATTAGTATGTTTGACAAAATATATCATCCACCGTTCAAATAATTCTGCTGTCATCCATCCAGATAGTGCATCACACCCCTGGGGGCCTGAAAGTGCATTTTTAACCATATAATCTTTAAAAAAATTTCCTAGGGAACACTAAAAACGGCGAGAATCGAATTACCTATAGCGTTTATTGCATTGCACATGGTTACCAAAGTGCCTCTTTCATTTGAAACTATATTGCGTACTTGTTTCTGTCCCATTTTGGCTATTACTTCTCCTGTATCTTGCACAGTTGTTAGTGCTGTTTCATCAACATTGTATACCTGACTAGGTGTTGCATACTTTTCATAAATCTTCTAAAGATTACTAAAAAATTTGCAACGACTTGTCGATTAAACACATTGCCCTACCTAGTGAAGTTGCTTCTGCTGATCGTAATGATAATTCTGAATTTCGTTTCATAAAACTTGTAAACCAAAACTTGCCTGCCATCTTCTTTTCTTCCATAAATTGTATCCCATAATTGGTATTTTTTCCGGTTAGCAATTGCAAAATCATAAGCTAGTTGTCTGGCACCTTTCGGATTAAGACCATGATGAAGCTTGGTCATCGTCTGTAAATAATTACTCAGTTCTTTTTCCTCGGTTGAAGAAAAAAATTGATTGATACCATAATTTGGGGTCAATCTTGGAGCTCCCTCAAGAACATCTGAAGTCCAATCTATATTATTTTTATTTTCATTGCACTTTTTAAAATATCTCCTATACGTAGTGCGTGGAATGTCGTATTTTAAAGCAGCAGCCTTTTGTGATAATCCACCTTCCCAAACATCATAAATCGGTTTTCTCATATTTTCATCTGTAGTTTTCCAATATCGGGATTTTTTGGTATTTTCCGTGGCATATTACTATCTAAAACAAAATTATTTTTGATATTTTTTGCAGAAAGAACAATGACCACTGCTTTTTTACAAACGTATGTAGGAACAGTGGCCACCACTTTTTTTTGTCAAACGCAGTGGCCACTGTTCCTGCATATGTGTGTGTCCACTGTACCAAAAGCTCATTGTTTAGGAGGCATAATCTAAAATCTACTACTTTGAAGATAGATCATAATTTAATATGTAGAATATATTAAACATACAACATACAGAACATTTAATATGTAAAATTGCGTGCATAGAAATCGGCCCACTGTAAACTTTTGACTTTAACTATATTTTTTTCAAGAAATATTCATCAGATCACAAAAACAAATATACTGTTTGAAAGACAATTTAATATGCTTTAATGTGAGTATAAATTTATGAAAACTGATTTCGGCTTCCTATGTTTAACATAGTGAAATGAATTCATTAAGCAAATTAAGTTTTTTTTATTATTAACATAAATAGGGTTATTAACAATTTAAAACTTAACACTTAATTTTTTAATAATGGGTATGACCTCCTCTTGCCCTAATAACATCTCTCATACGATTAGACATAGATCTAATCAAGTTTGCTATTGTTGCTTGTGGGATGTTAAGCCACTCTTCTTCTGCTGCAAGAATAAGCTCTGGGATCGAGTCTGGGGTATGAAGTCTAGCTCGAATTCTTCGTTTTAGCTCATCCCATAAATATTCGATCGGATTTAGGTCAGGACTGTTTGTTGGCCAGTCTATAACCTGAAAACCGACTGCAATGTAATCTTGCACGATTCTTGCGGTGTGTGCCCTTGCATTGTCATGCATAAAGATAAATTCATCTCCAATGTAGTCGACGTAAGTTACCACATGAATTGCTAAAATCTCCTCGATATATCTGGCAGCCGTTAAACCTCTTCTTCGTGAACACGGTCGTCCCTACTGGAATGTGCTAATGAACTCAAGATCGGTTCCTGCTCCTATAGAAATTGCACCCCAGATCATGCAGGAACCACGCCCATAAGCACTCCGCTCTTCAAAGCAGCATTCTGCAAATCTCTTTCCTGATCTCCGGTACACTTTCCTTCTTCGGTCGCTACCATAGAGGCATATTTTGGTCTCATCTGAGAACGGAACAGATCCCCATTGTTCCAACGTCCAATTCCGATGATCCTGTGCAAAACGCAGGCGTGCTTGCCGATGAGCTGGAGTAAGTTTTGGATAAATCGCAGGTGTTTTAGGGATCAGGTTATTTTCCCGCAGTCTTCGTCTCACTGTCCACTGACTAACAGCCACTCTTCGCACCTCACGGAGCTGTCGTTGCACTTGACGGCATTAAGGTGACGATTTCTTAATGTTGTTGACACAATAAAGCGCTAATCACGAGCGGTTGTAAATCGCCGTTTGCCTGTTCCAGGTCGCCTATGAAAGGATCCAGTCTCCTCATAACGTTGGCATACTCTTCGAACCGCTGCGCGTGTCATATCCAATTGTCTAGCAACAGCTCGCTGACTAAGTCCATTTTAGATTAGAGCAATAACTTGGGCGGCTTTTTGTGATGTAGTATGCATTAAACTAACACACTTGAACACTGCTGAGATTCTGAAAAACGAATAATATGCAAATTTCTCTTGCAAAGGCAATACTTTTACAATTAGACAAATTTGTTATTTTCGTGACAATCACCACATAAACACGTTTCATTTGTTTACCGGGTACTACGCATGTAAAGGATAAGCCTTCTTGATAAATTTATACTCACATTAAAGTATATTAAATTGTTTTTCAAACAGTATATTTGTTTTTGTGATCTGATGAATATTTCTTGAAAAAAAATATAGTTAAAGTCAAAAGTTTACAGTGGGCCGATTTCTATGCACGCAAGTGTATATTATTATTGGTTGAAAACATGTTTAAACTTACTTCTACACAACACATCTCTAAACAGGTTCGTATACAAAATGGTTCTGAAACGTTGATGCAGGTTAAGCGTAGTAAGCGACTACTATGACTAAAATTGTTAGCATTTGTACTAGATTTAAAATTTCTAAATTGAAGTTTAAAGATTCAAATCATATCTCATATCAAACTAATGCCACTTTTGTGATGAGTGGTACTTTCTTGGGCCTGGTAATGGCAAGTTTGCTTACCACTCCATTTCTACCGAATCTTCATATATTTGGACGTCCCAAAACAAA